GACTGTGACATCCCTGGAGACAGTATTAATATTTGTTTAGGCATTAATAACAGTGTTGAAATGGGAACAACATATTCAATTCAATTAAAAATAACAATAAACTAAAGTCTTCAAACCAGATGTAGGCCCAGTTAGCTTGTAGGAAGGCAGCTTGGGTCTTAGGGGAGTATCGGAGGGAGGCAGAGTCCCCCCAAGAGACTGGTGGACTCAGAAGGAGGACCAGGCTCAGGAAGGGGATTTAACATTTTGGCATTCCCAAACTCTGGCTGCCACCACTACCAAAGTTCCATCACTCTCCAAAAGTCATAATCTCAAGCATTCTATCTCAAGAAATGAGACAATTTTCCCCTTTCATGGAGCCAACGAACTCTAGCAACAAGTGCTACTGTTTACAAGGAAAGTACACTTGAGGAAGAGGAGGTCATATTTTTCTATATTCAAATGTTAAGATTTACAGATTTATTAAAACAAGAAAAAAGTTAATTCATAGAGAAAGGTCCAAAGCATGTGTTGCCTTTGTTAATATCTATCGTGCTGGACTCGCCAAGAGTACTAGCAATATTGGGACCAGCAGTTGGCACAACGGCTGCGTCGCTGGACTCCCATGTAGTGGACTCCCATGTAGTTGACTGCGGTTCAAGTCCTGGACCCAGTGACTTAAATTCACGCCGGGCATGTGTGCATGCGTGCCCAGGATCCCAAGGGGAGAATGAAGGAGAAGGGATTGCAATGTGGCCATCCCCCCTGAGGAGCTGATTTCTCTCTTTCTGTCTTTGTCTCTCTCTCTCTTTCTGGCAAGCACAGACGCCCTATAGCAAAAACCTCTCCAAAAAAACCCACAAAAGAGTAGTAGCAGGATGAAGCATTTCTGCACCTGTCTGTATGTGTATCACACAAGTTAAAAAAACAAAATCAGGGGCTAGCCGGTTGCACAGAAGTTAAGGTGGCTCTATCCTGAATGGCCACCACAGTTCAAGGGCAGGACCCAGTGGCCAGAACAATATGCCAGGTGCATGTGCATGCAGGCCCAAAATCCTGAGAGGACAATGGAGAAGGGATTGTGGTGGGCTATCCCTCCTGAAGGGTGATTTCTCACTTTCCCTCTCTCTGGCAAGCACACACACCTTACAGTAAAACTAACTAACTAACTAATAAATAAATAAATAAAAGGCCCAATGGCTTTCAAGCAAATACTTAGACATTCTCACTTTCTCACTTGATAAGTGTTATCTGGGCACAAAGATGAAAGTCTGAATTTCACTTTTAGATTTTTCATCAGTGTCTCAACTTCTGTAGAGACTTTCAAGACTTACTATTACCCCCTACAACCATGTACTATACCGGCTATCTAGAGATCGCTCACTCGTTACACAAAACGTGGCTCAATATCATTCTCCAGAATCAAATGCAAGGCATGGAGAAGCTATCCTATTACACACCACTGTAGGTAGTAAGCAATCTGCTTGTGAGAACTTCGAGGAGACCTTAACAATGCTTCTCCTTTCCATCTGCTCAAAATCTTACCAGAAAGCATTTTCAGGACATTAGGCCCTGGCCAGCTTCTCACTGAGAGTGGAATTTTTATTAATTTTTTAAGCTAAGATTTCTGAACCCTGAAATACACATACAAGCTAAAACGGGCATGGCCACCTGTTGCCTCCAGCCCTCAAAGGAATTCTTCCTGAACACAGGGAGGATGTCTCCCCAACACCGCCTCAGAGGCGCAGCTGTCCCCCCC